AAAGAAGAAAGATGTCTTAGGTTCCAGAAGCTAAGGATTCTAAAGCCAAATCATCAAACAAGAGCTGAGGCCAAAAAACCAGGGAAGTCTGGATAAGAATAGGTGTTAGAGGCTAGGATCGTTCACTTTTAACACCCATGACGAGATCCAACATTTGGCAGGACTATAAAGCTCATATTGAGTACCCTGCAAAAATGTTGAAAGCTGAGACGAAATATTTTCCCAATTTGTGAAAATAATATAAAGCAAATTCTGCCCAACATCCCAAGGAATTTCAAGAAAACCTTCCATCAGCTCACTAAGCTTTGTGCAAGCATGCCATCCAAATTCATAATTACATAGGGGAACCTGAAATAAAGGGATAAAGTTAAAAACTGCTACAAGATACATGATCTAAGGTTCTAGCAGAATCAAATCTAAAATTACTATCTAAGGAGATGTCCATAAACCCAACTTATACAATGCCTACCTATCAAAGAACCCTACCACTACCACCATCTACACACTGAAGTTATCCAATAACCAAAATATTATGAGAAGCATAACAGAACACACACACAAAAAAAAACATGGGAAGCAGCAGCAAATGAGGAAACATGAAAATTAGAAGCTCAAGAATTGAGAATACAATAATTTGAACAAGGCTATTATGAAAATACATTTTAAATCATTAAAAATGTTTAAAAAGTAATATAAACCAGGCCAGGCATGGTGACTCACACTTGTAATCCCAGCACATTGGGAGGCTGAGGCAGGTAGATCACCTGAGATCAGGAGTTTGAGACCAGCCTGGCTAACAAGGTGAGATGCATTCTCTACTAAAAACACAAAAATTAGTTGGGAGTGGTGGTATGTGCCTGTAAACCCAGCTACTTGGGTGGCTGAGGCAGGGGAATCACTTGAACTGGGGAGGCGGAGGTGGCAGTGAGCCGAGGCCGCACCACTGCGCTCCAGCCTAGGTGACTGAATGAGACCCTGTCTCAAAAAAATAAAAAATTTAAAAAAATAGATATCAAAATGAAAAAAAAAGGACATTAAAAAAAGATATGTGCATTTGAGAAAAGAAATCATATAATCAGAAATGAAAATTGTCTTTCAAATTAAAAACTGAGCAGATCAGTTAAACAGCAGATTCAATACATTCAAGGAAACAAAGAGCGAAATGGAATTTAGATTTGATTAATCACACAGAACACAACACATTATGTGCGTTTTGACAAGATGGATGAAAGCTTAAAAGCCATGATGGATACAGAGAAGTGGAGAGGTTCAACACATATCTAATATGAGTCCCAGTAAGAGATTATGGAAGAGCGAACGTATGCAAAAGTAAATAACTAGAAATTTTTTAGAATTTAATAAAAACATGAGATTTCAGACTGAAGGAATGCATGGAGACCACTGCAGAATACACAGAAGCAAACACACACCTAGAAATATCATCATGACAATAAAAAGCACCATAGTCAAAAAGAAAATAATAAAAGCAACCAGAGATAAGTGGCGGATTACTCTCCTCTGTCATTAGGTGGGATACCAAAGTTCTGAGATGATACAGTTGCTGCTAATTTCCCTTCTTCTATTAAGAAATCTGAAGGAGAAAGCAGAAAAGAGGATTCAGCAATTTTCCCTGTCCCCTTTTCTCTGCATTGCTGGAGGCTTATTGCCCTGCCTCCTCTCAGTCAGGCACAAGGGCTAGCTTGTGTTGGGTACCAACCACTCATGTCCTGATTTGCAGGGTGTCCTAGTGGTGATGCTCATCTTCACTGTGCTGGAGCTCTTATTAGCTGCATACAGTTCTGTCTTTTGGTGGAAACAGCTCTACTCCAACAACCCTGGGGTGAGTATGCTGACATGTCACATCATACCTGCTGTGTTCCAGAGCCAGGCAACAATAATCCAGGCCCAAAAAAGTGGCGAAAAGAAGAATCAATTATTGTTCATGAGGTGCATGTAGAAAGCAGCTTTCATAATTTAAAAAATGTGTTTAAATAAACGGTCTCCTTCCTGAGGACGCTCTGGTCATCTGGGATCAGCTGATGTCTACTGGGAAGCTGACCAGGTAGAGAATTGGTTAATATGAAGCTAGTTGGCTTTAGAAATCACATAGCCAAACTGTTCATGAAAGAACAAAGACATAGAAAATGAATGATACAGACTATTGGGCTGAGAATGAGAACGTGTCTCCCCTCACGTTTACCATGAACACAGCCACCTGCCTCCCGAGAGAGTCTCCCTAGCCAAGTTTCCTTGCTAATGTGATGAGACTTTACTAGAACGTCTCTGTCCTGTTTATGCTTTCCTGTGCTCTTCCTTACATCCCCTTAGCTCTTGATGTTATAATTTTAAAGTATTTTCATTTCCCCCAAAAGCTATAGCAAAAAAAAGAAATGTTTATAGAATTTGGATGAATTATGATTTAACTATGATCCTATTTAAAAATAGTAAAATAATTAGCAGACTGGAGAATGGCATTATTTTTAACTAATATTGCTACAATTACATTTATGGCAAAGTTGGAAGAACTACTACTATATAACATTTGGGGAAAATGTATTATGTTTTTTAATCTCCAAAATCAAAGTTTAAAAACTCTAACCAATTACATATTTTCTAGCATTCATTCTTCTTGACCCAGTCACAAGATCATATTCAACGGGACAAAAAGAGTTCAAGGTTTTGGATATAAGAAACTCTTGGCCTCAGAGGATAAAGGAAAAGTAACCCAGAATTCACGGTCAAGTGTGATTAGACTTTCCTGAAATCTCCGCCATTTTAGACACTGCGAAATAAATTTTTTCACTTAAAAAAACTTCTGTTTTGTGTTTGTTTACTATGAGTCATCATTTAATTTCTCTTGAAAATAATTTCCTCAAAGCCCGTCAGTAAAGTTTTATTAGCAGGTCTTCCAAAAAGGGTCATAAACTTTATAAACTTTCAGTAAACTGAACAGAAGGTGATACAAAGAAGAGAAAATATGCACTCACGCTAGGGTGAACTTGCTAAGTCATGTGACTCTGCATGCTGTTTCTATATTATTTTCATACTCATATTGCTTAAATATTTCATATTAGGGATTGTAAGAATACTTTAATTACAAATTAAAGGCTATACATAAACTACTCTGCCCGGGCCACTCTCTGAAAAACAGATCTGCTGGGCTCCTTTTTCATGAGCCATTAGGTGAAAGGTAGCAAAGAGTTTCTCAAGTGCTCAGGATTACCTCTGAACACATAGCAACCATGTCCCTGCCTCCCATAAATCTTACCATGTGAATCCAGATCTCTTCAAACCCACGCTGCCAACCAGTGGTGCTCGTTTTATTGTTTAAAAACAGCCTTCTTGGCCAGGCATAGTGGCTCATGCCTGTAATCCCAGCACTTTGGGAGGCCCAAGCGGGTGGATCACCTGAGGTCAGGAGTTCGAGACCAGTCTGACCAACATGGTGAAGCCCAATCTCTTCAGAAATGCAAAAAAAAAAAAAAAAAAAAAAAATTAGTTGGGCATTGTGGTATGCATCTGTAGTTCTACCTACTCAGAAGGCTGAGGCAGAAGAATCACTTTAAACTGGGAGGTGGAGTTTGCAGTGAGCGAAGACTGTGTCATTGCACTCCAGGCTGGGTGATAAGAATGAAACTCCACTTTGACAAACCAGACAAAAACAAGCAATGGGGAAAGGATTCCCTGTTCAATAAATGGTGTTGGGAAAGCTGGCTAGCCACGTGCAGAAAGCAGAAACTGGACCCCTTCCTGACACCTTACACTAAAATTAACTCCAGATGGATTAAAGACTTAAACATAAGACCTAACACCATAAAAACTCTAGAAGAAAATCTAGGCAAAACCATTCAGGACGTAGGCATAGGCAAGGACTTCATGACCAAAACACCAAAAGCATTGACAACAAAAGCGAAAATAGACAAATGGGACCTAATCAAACTCCACAGCTTCTGCACAGCAAAAGAAACAATCATTAGAGTGAATCGGCAACCAACAGATTGGGAAAAAAATTTTTGCAGTTTACCCATCTGACAAAGGGCTGATATCCAAAATTTACAAAGAACTAAAACAGATTTACAAGAAAAAAACTAACAAGCCCATTCAAAAGTGGGCAAAGGATATGAACAGACACTTTACAAAAGAAGACATACGTGAGGCCAACAAACATATGAAAAAATGCTCATCATCACTGGTCATCAGAGAAATGCAAATCAAAACTACATTGAGATACCATCTCACGCCAGTTAGAATGGCAATCATTAAAAACTCTGGAGACAGGAGATGCTGGAGAGGATGTGGAGAAATAGGAACACTTTTACACTGTTGGTGGGAGTGTAAATTAGTTCAACCATTGTGGAAGACAGTGTGGCGATTCCTCAAGGACCTAGAAATAGAAATTCCATTTGACCCAGCAATCCCATTACTGGGTATATATCCAAAGGATTACAAATCGTTCTACTATAAGGACACGTGCACACGAATGTTCATTGCAGCACTGTTTACAATAGCAAAGACCTGGAACCAACCCAAATGCCCATCGACGATAGACTGGATAGGGAAAATGTGGCACATATACACCATGGAATATTATGCAGCCATCAAAAACAATGAGTTTGGGTCCTTTGTAGGGACATGGATGAACCTGGAAACCATCATTCTCAGCAAACTGACAGAAGAGCAGAAGATCAAACACCGCATGTTCTCACTCGTAGGCGGGTGTTGAACAATGAGAACACATGGACACAGGGAGGGGAGCACTACACACTGGGGTCAGTTGGGGGGAAATAGGGGAGGGACGGTGTGGGGTGGGAAGCTGGGGAGAGATAGCAAGGGGAGAAATGCCAGATGTAAGTGATGGGGAGGAAGGCAGCAAATCACACTGCCACGTGTGTTCCTATGCAACAATTTTGCATGTTCTTTACATGTACCCCAAAACCTAAAATGCAATAAAATAAATAAATGGGGGAAAAAAAAGAATGAAACTCCATTGCTCAAAATAAATAAATAAAAATAGACTACATATAGTCTTGGATTTATTTATTTTAAATAAATAAATAAAATAAAAATATTTAGTCGTTGGCACATAAACTATGTTCTCTTCTGTAATTTCAGGGTAGGAGTCAATGAAGACATCTTAGTCTTCTTAATAAGTTACAGATAATCCATCTCTGAGTGGCATGTTTTCTGCCTCTAGCTTGGAGCCAAATGTTGCTCACGCTAAAAAGAATAATGTAATTAATGTCTGTTTGTTTGGGTATTAAGTCTATTTTGATCTATAGCACAATTTTGTAATTCAGATCATCTCCCCTGCACTTTGTACCACATGGGCATATTCTTTCTTCCCAGTCATTGCTGCAATTATCTTGTCTGTTCTTTGTGTAATATGTTCTGTGTGGGCCTCTGCATTGAACTCGATTTCTTGGGCAATTATGGAAATTCCAGTGTGGCTGCAGTTTAACTTTGCACTCTCTAAGCATATGAGGTTTCCTAAATAAACTTGAAGAGAAGCAGAGTTTAAAATATATATATAACTTTCTACAACAAAGAATTATTGAGTTCAAATGACATCAGTGATAATTTTGAGACACCTGCTATCCATGGTTGCTGCAAACCAGGAAATACTCAAGTTATTATTTGTATACATTGGTTTTAGTTTTATGAAACAATTTACCTTCATGATCTCATAGTTGAAATTATAATGAATTTAGGAATGTAAAGGATCAATACGGAAAGCAAGATTCCTAAAGGCAGTTTTTGTTGTTTTAATTAGTATTTGTGTAGTTCAAATCGGGAAGGATTTGACTATAATTAGTTTTGCTTATCTTTCTGAAAGCTAAAATATTCTCTATTATAAAGCGGCAACTACATCTGGTCCTATAGCACCTTTACTACTGATATTTTTTTTAATTTGAAAATGCAAAGAATTGTTAATTGTTCTTACTACAAAAACAAAAAAATAACCATGTGTTGTGATGGATATGTTAATTAGCTGGATTGTGGTAATCATTTTGGAGTGTTTATGTATATCAAAACATGTAGTACCCCCAAATATATATAATTTTTATTTGTCAAATATACTTCAAAAAAGATGGAAAAATAGAGATTCAAAGTTAACTGCTGATTTTTGTAATACAAAGGAATATGGTTTAACAGTAAGTTGGAAAATTAATCAAGTAAAGGTGAGAAACTCCTTTCGAAGGAGGGCAGAGCATGATTGAGTTTAAAAAACATAGATTTTGCAGACAGGTCAAGTTGAGTTTGCCCCCTCCCCTGTCCCGTATGTCTTTGGGGGACATAAACTTGCTGTTCCTCACTTTCAGCATTGTAGAACTGTTAAAGGAATAAATGTTAGTGCATGTCAAAACAAACAAAACACCTTCTACAGTTCCCATCACATAGGGATATCCCATAACTTTTAGTTTCTTTATAACTATGAACATATGTGTAAGGACTGGTTTTGTATATACCACCTATTTTGTGTTTACCATATGTTTGCAACCAATTTCACAAGAGAGTAAGTCTTCTGGATATGGTACTTTTCACCAGGAAGATGGAGGGCTGGGCATGCTCTAGAATTCTAAAACTTTGTGACTCAACTCTGATTCTGTGGTTCTACTACTAAGTAGAGTGATCACTAAGGGCTCATTTCCAAGGGCTCCATGTCACTCTGGTGGTGAGGTAGACCATGATTTGGGCTGCAATGTTTGCTCACTCTTTCTTTTACTAGAGTTCTGCCATTGAATCATGGAGTCAACATCCCAGGACAAAAAGGCAACTCATGTCATCACTATACAACCAAACGAAACTGTATTGACTGCATTTCCCTACAGACCTCACAGCTCTCTGCTGGACTTTCTGAAAGGAGAGCCAAGAGTGTTGGGGGTAAGTCCTCTCCAATCAATGGACCTCCCAAAGGGGAGAAAAGAAGTTTATTTATTCATATATGTCTGCAGAGATACCTCTGTCCAGTGATTTTCAGGGAGGGAGTTAATTCTACTTTTCCCCCTTCACCTTTCATGAGGAATTAGTACTGATCTTTGAATCCCAACAGAGGGGAAGCAATAAACTAGTATAACTTTTTGAAATATCTCACTGAGGAAGTGAACTCAGAGTATGGTGGCACCTCCCATGAAGGTAAAAAACCATAAGTGGAGAGGTTTGACTTCTACTTTGTGCTCTTAAAGGAATTGGGAGTGCTTCAAAAACCATATTGAAAGCTTCATTGTGAACCAAATGATAAGACATACAAAATGTTTTTCATCATTAATGCACCCAGGGGAGAGCTGTATGCACAACCCCCATACTTTGTACAACAGCAAAAATCATTACTTGGGGTGTCATGGCCCAGAGATGTGGCCTGGGGACAAAACCTAGACTGACAGAGAAATTTTGCCCTGAGAAGAGCCGCTGCTGCTGTTCTTTTCCCTGTAGACTCCTACAAGCTGATAGGCCCACCAGGTCATTCTCATCCCTACCCGGGTCCTTGGATGAAGAGGAGGTGAAATGCAAGCTCATCTCAGGTTTTCCACAATAAGTCAGCAAACATTTTAAACTTTTAGACAACTGGGATGAGCCCCAATTCCAAAAGCCTATACTGAGTGCTGGAAAATGCGGGGGTAGGGGTTGTTAGGATAATAATGGAATACTGGAGAGACAGAAGGGAAAAAACACAAAGGTGAATACTTTGTAGTCCCTGTACTCAAGAAGCTTATAATCTGGGGATAGTCGGACATGTACTCAAAATATGTCCAATATAAGATTAATTGGTAACACCAGGGAAGACAGAAAATAATAAAGAATAAGAGTGAAGGATTTGAACCTGAAGGATCCAGGCAAGCAAAGTGGGGAAGGAAACACATTGAACTGAGTCTCTTAATCTGAGAATGATTGACAAATGTGAAAGGAAGGCATTTGGATAGATTGAAAAGTCTGCCATGGAGGCAAACCCTCAGGGACCTGGGGTGGCCCAAAGATGCTTGGATACTGGTAACCTCATGTACTCATTTCTCTCCTCACAGGCTACCCAGATCCTCCTTGCTCTAATCATTGTGGGCCTTGGAACAATATTTGTGCTTAATTACATCCATTTCTCCCAAAGACTTCCCCTTGTTCTCCTCTCAGGATATCCATTTTGGGGAGCACTTATTGTGAGTACTGTCGATTAGAAGCTTTTGAGAAATTGCTATAATGACAGATTTGAACTGGTTCATGTCCTAGGGTAATGAATTCCATAAATATGGCCCTCCAGGAGACCAAAAATGGCAGTTCACTTCAAGGCAAAAGAAGCAACTCCATTCGGTCATTGCACTACCATCAGTATTGTAATAACTACTCTTGGGTGCTTAAAAGTTTCCAAAACCATTGTGCGTATAGTAAGACATTTGCTTCTCATTACCAATGTGGGACACAAGATGGGCAAATATCATACTTTCTCCTTTGCAAATAAGGAAGCTGAGCTCAAAAGTTGAGAATAACTTAAACACATGTAGCTAGTGTTCATGCAATCACAGACGCTGAAACCTTAAGGAGAATTTTAAGATGATTATCGCTCATCCTCCTTCTTAGCCCCAGAGACAATTTTATGAGTGCCACTCATCTAGGTAGTGATGTATCCATAAATACTATTCTTAGTCAGTGCTCTTTCTATCTAGTCCCCACAGCCTGGATTCCTAATTTTTTGCCATAATATTCAAGCGCAGACTCATTAGAGCTTCTCCTAACATAAACTCCTGAGAAGACAGCAATATCACTGTCTGTTTTAGTTGTTATATTCTGAAAACCTAGAATCACGCTTGAGGCATAGTATGCATGAATGAATGAATGAATCAACCAATCAATGAACAAATAGGTAAAATAATGAATAAATTAGACCACTATCACTGACTATTAAAAATCCAGTTTCTTTTGATAATCAGAAATACTTCATGCCTTTTCTATAATGTGCATTTCAGAAACAACCAGCAGAGTTTTCATTTTCCCAATATAAATAATGTAGTATTCAATATGATTTTCAAACTATATATGCCATACTGTAGAATATCAAACAGACCAACCCCTCACTTCCTCGTATTACAACAGAATTTTCCCAGTGTGACTGTGTAATCTGCATGTGAGAATTAAAATGAAGTTCTGGCCTGCTGTTTTTGAAACTCTACTTTTCACTTTAAAGATATTTACTGAGCACATACCATGTCTTCAATAGCATCCTAGTTGCTGAGACTGAGACTGAGGAAAACAGTCCCTCTCTGATTGAAGTGGTAAATTGTTTTTAGATTTAGACAGTTTGTCATTTAACTGGGAGACTAGACATGAAAAAGTCAAAAGTAACCCCAAATACTTGTCCCTATACTTGTAATAAGTACTCTAAGAGAAGAATTGCAGGTGCCATGTGAGGGTTTCATAGAGGACTCACCTGACTTCAGAGGTAAGGAAAGTGCTTTGCACATAGTGGCTCACCGGGCAAAATGGAAGGAAAGCATTCCCTGGCAAAGATAAACCATGAGTCAAGGGCTTGGTGTGGGAAAGAGTAACCAAAAGAAGACCAATGAGTCTATCATGATGGCATAAAATGAGGCTATAAAGGTAGACTGTACCCAGGTCATGCCAACTCCTATTGTCATATGAAGAACATGGAACTTCAGTGTGAAAGCATGGGAAATCCACTGAAAATTTATAAAGAGGATAGTGCCATTTGAAGACTTGTTGAAGTATGATTGTGTTTTTTGAGTGAGAAAATTCAATGATAACAGCAATCCTAGAGGAATCCAATGAGAGGAGGCTGCAATCATGCCGAAGAGGAAAGAGTTTCCCTGAACTAGCGTGGCGGCAATGGAGCTAGAGATGGAGAGCCTGAGTGACTTGGAGGTAGAGTTGATAGGACTTGGCAGTCCAGTGTGGGGAATCAAGTGGAGGGAGGTATCAATGGTATCTTTCTGATCTCCGCAAGTCAGCTGCAGATCCTTGGACCATAAGACCCAGATGTTCCCAAGGTCCAACGCCAGTTCCCACAGAGGAGGTTCCCATCCTCAGAACATTAAAAAAGGAAGGGGCTCCGCATGCAGTGACAGAGTTCTCCTTTTCCTGAGGTGGCACTAGGCTCTACACTTATGGGAAATGAGTGACTGTTATAACCACACTAGATATAAGCCCCCATTATCAGCCTTCAGAGGGATCCTCCCTGAGAAAGTCTCCCTTCACCTGCTCAGAACAGGCACAGTTCCTCCTCTTCTCTTCAAGGCCCAGAGCTTAGGAAATCTGTTTTTGGAGCCCCAGCTGGACCCAACATCTGAGCCATCTCCTCTGGATCTTAGAAGGGCCTTCTTGTCCCAGTTGACCCTGGCAGAGAGCGCTTGTTCAGTGCTGAGCAAACCCAGCACAATGTTTCTTCCAACCTACCTTATCTATGCTGACCCTCGCTACTCCCTGATGCTCAGGTGGAAAAACTGGATGGTCTTGGAGATTTGCAAACAGATAGTTTGTGAATCCAAGGGAAATTATATTGCAAGGTGGTCAAGCACATCACCTGTTAACTTTTGTCTCTCGTCTTCTTAACAGTTTATGGTTACAGGGTACCTCACAGCAGTCGAAGAGAAATCAAAAACTCAGGTGAGTCACTTTTGTGACTTTATGTAATTTGAAATATTCTATTTGCTTTATATCATCTTTATGTATAAAGTGTTTAGTAATAGTTACCTCTCAGGAAAATCTGTATGCATCCAAGTTGCAGTTTAGATCATTTCTATTTGCCAGTGCCATTATTTGCCTGATATTCTTACACTGGTTCCCATTTCCCTGGTCAAGTAAACTAAAAGAGTTGCTTATTGGAAACCATTTGGCATCCCTCTAATTCGATGTTCATTATGAGGAGTAATTCCCTGCCCCTCACCCCCAGGATCCAGAAAATATTGGACAATATCTGAAGATCCCATTTTTGGTCTTCACAACTGGTGCTACTGGCAACTAGTGACTAGAGGCCAGGGACACATCTAAGCATGTAAAATGCACAGGACGGCCTCCATCACACACAAAAATTATCCGACAAAAAAAGTCTATAGTACCATTGTTGAGAAACCTTGCTCTAACCAAAACCAATCCTAAGATCTCAGTAATTCTTCCTCCCAATCCTAGACCTGTCTCCAATACTAACCGAAGTGTTTCTTTAGAGCCTAAACAAGGTCTAGAAGAAGAAAATCTGGGCATTGATACTGGATTGTTCTAGGATTGAACCAAGGCTACCACTCACTTCTGTCTTAACCTGAAGGGAAAAGTACCTACTTCTAAGGGTTATTTTGAGGATTTAATAAGATATTACTTATTAAAGGCATGATGATGCTTAAATGTTCATACTTCTTTCGAACGACTCTGATCTTGTTTAAGGTCCTGGGGATGTGGGCCTTCTCTGAAAGCCAGTTTAACTCTGTTCTTATGGTCTTCTGCTAATTTCCTTTAGGGATAGTTACAAGCAATAGAGACTTTCTGAGGAGAGGGGGGATAAATGCTCCCATCCCTGCTTAAGGAAATTATGCAGACAATGCAGATAAAGCCCCAAATGCTGTTCTCCCTGTATTGACTTCCTTCCAGAGCTGAGAAATAGACTATTGGTAAGGAAAACCTACTCCTGACTCACTGAGAGCTATGCAAATGGAGAAATGATGGGGGCAGGATGCTGAACCAGGCATCGGAAGACCTGGCTTTTCATCACAGCTCTTCCACAAAATGTGGAAGTAACTGCTCACAGACACTTACTTACTGAATTCCATTTATCTGTAAAATGGGATAACAAGTGTCCTTCCTAGGGAGGGGAGCACTACACACTGGGGTCAGTTGGGGGGAAATTGGGGAGGGACGGTGGGGGGTGGGGAGCTGGGGAGGGATAGCAGGGGGAGAAATGCCAGATGTAGGTGATGGGGAGGAAGGCAGCAAATCACACTGCCACGTGTGTTCCTATGCAACAATTTTGCATGTTCTTCACATGTACCCCAAAACCTAAAATGCAATAAAATAAATAAATGGGAAAAAAAAAACAAGGGTCCTTCCTATATCACATAATTTATAATGAGAATCAGAAGAGACTAGGCTGGGTATGTTCTTTGTAAAGCCCAATACACATGAAGGATTGATTATCTAGAGATCTTACTCTATTAAATGTCCTGTGGGAGCCAAAATACAGCCTTGAGGAAACAAGGGAACTAAAGACCAAGAGAGAGAGGGCCTATCAATATGCTCCTGTGGATTTGCTGCCAAAGTGCCTGTTTGCAATAAAAACCTGGGATTGGGGTAAACATTAAGTCACAAGTACACTTCCAAGGTTTGCCACACGAAGCCACAGACTGTTCCAGAAAGGATTGGCTCTGTAAATGCATCATTGTATTTTCCACCACCGTAGTCATAGCACAATAAAGGTACCACAAATACCTGATGAATGGAAATGTGAGGCTTTTCTTTCTTTCTTTCTTTTTTTAAAAAAGAGCAGTATCAGTCCTGGGAGTGGGTATGAAGGAACAAATCGAATGACCCCCTTTCATTAAAGGAACTTGGATATACATACCCCACCCACCCATACCCCCACAAAAAATAGAAATGAATAAATGCAATTAGGTGGGTCAGTCTGAAATTTTTTTATTTAAACACTGAGTTCAAGAAAGAACCCATTTAGAATACCTTTAAACTCCAGTTCAAACAGGTTAACATCTTTAAATACATTAATGATTTTGTTGGTTATGGCTTGAATTCTCCCAGGGAAGTACTGTAAACCACATTATTGCAGGATGTCACCTCTCTTGTTCATTTTCGTGTCTCTAGGCCCTAATGCAGTAATCATACGTATTTGGTGTGCATTAAATATTTATGAAATAAATGAATGAATGGATACTAACCTAAAAGTTAGGTGACACATTCACATTTTTAAAGGCAGAAATTGAGATTCTGAAAAATTAGGTTGCTTGCATAGGGTCCTAGTGAAACCTGGACTTGAAATGAGATTTCATTTGCAAGCCAAGATATTTGCTAACACACTGTACTGCTTCCAGGTTATGAAAGAAGGTGCACTGGGATAAAATGAACATTTTCTCTAGCATTAGCCATAGAGTATCCTTGGCCCATTCTAAAACTTGGTGTGTCTTCTGACTTTAATGAGTCAGAATTTAGTGTATTAAGCCTTACAGTCATACTGATCTGATGGAACAACTCTTCCCTGAGCAGTATCTGGAAAGATAAAAGCACTAAGAATTTCTTTCAAGGTATTTTGGCTTTGGTTTAGATTTTATTTATTTATTTATTTTTTAACTACCTTTCAGGGTCAAGGTGTCATGGCCATGAATGTTATCAGTTCCTTGGTTGCGATAACTGGGATTACTTTCACCATACTCAGCTACAGACATGAAGACAAGTACTGCCAGACACCTTCCCTTGAAGAAACATGTGTTTTAGGTAGAACTCTTTTCATTGTAAGTGATCTTACTTTTCATGATGAATCTGTAAAATCTTATCTGAACAGTGTTGGTGATACAATGATTCATTTATTTTTATTTTATTAACTGAAATTGTGTCAGCATTTGAACTGATGATAGGGAAGGGTATTGTGGAATTATTGTTGCAATCATTAAGGAGCCATGTTTTCTGGACTTGAATCCTGTCACATACGCTTGTCACCTTGGCCTAATATTGTATTCTCTCTAAGCTTCGGTTTTCCTCATGTGGAAAATGAACATAATAAGAACGCTGACCCCATGGGTTGTTGTGAAGCTTGCTTAAATTAAAACAGTACCCTGCACAGTTAAATAGTCAATAGGTTTAGCTAATACAATTATTATTGACATGGATTGAATTAAATTTTACCTTTTCAGCAGTAATGAACAAAATGATCTAAAAGTTTTTTCAATAACAATAAGATCAAAATACAGTAGGAGAAGGTATTTAGAAGCCATTGAATAAAGTAAGGATTTTAAGAAGTTTAAGACATATGTTATTTCACATAATTGCAACCATTTTATTCATTAAAGCAGATGAGAGATCTTTTTACTGGGAAATGCAATTGTTGGTACAATTTAAAGTATTTATCTAACAAGTAATCAATGACATTATTTTTAACCATGTCAGTGACTCCAATAGGCCTTTCCCTCTAGTTCCCTCATCAAGTCCTTGGGTTTTATTTTATTCCTACCAGCTATATCTTAAATGCTTGGGTTCTATAATTTTAAGAATATTTGAACCTGTTAGAAGGGAAATAAAGTAGAATCACAGAAAATGGTCTTCCTCGATAAAAGAAATGAGAAGTTAGTTCCTGAATACAAGGTTTTATTTAATCCTCACAATCACTCGGTGAAATGATTCTAGGGATCCTCTCATGTTTTCTGAGATAAATTCTAAAATTGGACTCATGATAGATTACTAAAAAAAGCCAGAAAACAACATCAGCAATAAACCCGCTCCTAACTTGGCCCAAAACATGATACAACCTTATAATTCTTGCTCATTTCTGAATGGACAGGAGCATACTGTTGTTCATTATGTTGGTATATATCAGGAAGAAATAGTATATACTGAAAGGGTTAAATCTCCAGATATATGAAATTCTGCTATTTCCTGTCCTCCATGGATAGGTCTTGCAAGATTGGTTATGTGACTACAGAACCATGAACTCTCTCTTCCTAGTTCTCACTTACACAGCTTAACAATTTCTTGTTGTAACCCAAACATCATAAGCTAAAAGAGCCAGAACAGTGGGCTTTAGACATCTCTTGGGCTGACCCCTGTCCTGAAGACCAATCTATTGTCTCTTCTGTGACCAGAGTAATTACTTAAAAATGTAAATCAGAGCAATTACTTAATGGCTTTCTGTAAAACATGTGATGATTAAGACCCAAATCTAAAGGGCCTTACCAAACTGTAATACCTATCCTACCCAGCTTTCCAACGTTATTCCAGGACTTTATCCTGCTTCCTCCACACTCCAGCCACTTTCTAGAATCCCTTAATGTGTCAAGCAGCCACTGCCCCAAGATGATCATAGGATTAGCGTCTTCCTACTTTGAATGGTCCCCCAGGCCAGTTACACAATTAACTCAGCCTCATACTTAAATCTCAACTGAAGTACCACTTCTTTAAGAAAGTTCTCCCTGACTACGGCTCTACTCTCATATCTGCATAGATCCCCCATTATAGTAGCACAGAGCTCCCAGTCCTTCTTCACAGCATTTATCATAACTTAGTTAAGTAGATAATTATCTAATTACTTGTTATTGTCTGCCTCCCTTACAGTGATGTAAGTTCCACAAAATCCAAGACCAGGTATACCTTGCTCAATGGAAAATGTCAGTAAATTGCATGGAGTAGGGTCTGCATACATTTTAGTTTTACCAACAAATATTGAATATATAAGATCCTGGGTGTATTGCAGGGAAACCAAGATTCACAAACACACAGTTATTTGTTCAAGGTTAAGTGTGACCTTGAACCCACTTTAACCCAGATCTTTCTGTCTTCATATTTTAAGCTTTTGAGGCATCATATGGTACCATGTTGCTTCTCAATCCAAACATTACCTTAAAGCAAAATGAGCAAAAGGGCAATCTCTGGGCTACATTTAGCCTGCGTATATGTTTTATTTGGCTCACACAGGTGAACACATAACTGGAAAATTTCAACTCAAAAAGTATGTATATCCAGTCTATTTAGGGAAAAACAAACAAAATAGGCATCATGGTACCCATGTTCCCACATGACAACAATTGGCTGGAACTGAGTAATGGATGCCTCCTACGAATACTTTTACTCTCAATTTTCTCCCTGTTTAGTTCAAGATGGTTGCACAGCTCCCAGGGACTTTGGAGTTTGTTATCTCTGCCTTATCAGAAAGATATAAGATGAAAATTGTGCAATGTCTGATGGCTACAGAATCATCTAAAATATGGTTTTCCCATACTTGGTGATAGAGTCTAAAGTGTTTTCAGCTTATATATTTAAAATAACAGCTCTCATTTCAAATGTCATTTATTTCTTCTCATTATTTGCAGGGAATTTTGTCAATCTTACTGATCATCAGCATAGCAGAGCTCAGCATCTCTGTGACTATTGCATCGTTTAGAAGCAAGTGCTGGACGCAGTCAGATGAGGTGTGTTCCATGTTATTAAGCGAACAGATTCCTTTGGGATACTGCACACAATGATGTTGGGTTTATTAGTAGGAAGAGCAGCATGCTCAGATGCTGAACTAAAACATCTAACTTTAGGAAGGTCAGAAAGGGACAATCTTAAGGCTGATGCTCACCCCACCATTTGAAACAACTATGCTTTCCTTTCTTGTCCTATCTGCTATATACTCAGTCATCTCTGTTCAGACATAGCTCCTTATATCCCTGCCAAAAATATGTAATATCAGACTTAATAGGAGCCCAAATTACTGTGACATGGGGTGTGTGTTCTTGGATCATAAGATGTGTGACACAGTTCTACCACCAGAAAAGAAGTAGGGGGAAAACAAACCATTAATACCGATACTACATATATTTATAATAATTGTTACAGTTTGTATTTACTGAATTCTGACTATGTCACTCACTGTTATAATCACTGAGCGCCAGCTTAATCTTAACAAAACTATTATAACATCTTTATTTTACATATGAAGGAAGTAAGGCACAAAGAGGCTAAATAACCTCTCCAGTATCATATAACATAAGGATTCTGACCCCCGTAGTATGTCTCCAGAGCCTGCTTGCTAAGTCCCAAAATACTAGTACAAGCCTTGTGATTCATGGAGTTTTCATTTCTCTCTCTTTTTTTTACATGAACTTTATAGAAGTATGATTTGTAAACAACAAAATGTACCTATGTTTAACTACCATCACAATCAAGGTATAGTGCATTCCTATCACCCCTAAAGGTTCACTGGAACCCATTTTCAGTCAATGCTCTCATCACCAAGATTGGTTTTGACTTTCTAAAATTTCATACTCAAAGAATCAACATTTGGGTTCATTGATTTTCTCTATTCTTTTTCTTTTTTTTCCCCCCATTTATTTATTTTATTGCATTTTAGGCTTTGGGGTACATGTGAAGAACATGCAACATCGTTGCATAGGTACACACGTGGCAGTGTGATTTGCTGCCTTCCTCCCCATCACCTGCATCTGGCATTTCTCCCCTTGCTATCTCTCCCCAGCTCCCCACCCCCCACCGTCCCTCCCCTATTTCCCCCCAACTGACCCCAGTGTGTAGTGCTCCCCTCCCTGTGTCCATGTGTTCTCATTGGTGGGAGTGTAAATTAGTTCAACCATTGTGGAAGATAGTGTGGCGATTCCTCAAGGACCTAGAAATAGAAATTCCATTTGACCCAGCAATCCCATTACTGGGTATATATCCAAAGGATTACAAATCATTCTACTATAAGGACACATGCACACGAATGTTCATTGCAGCACTGTTTACAATAGCAAAGACCTGGAACCAACCCAAATGCCCATCGACGATAGACTGGATAGGGAAAATGTGGCACATATACACCATGGAATATTATGCAGCCATCTATTCTTTTTCTATTGTCTATTTTGGTTATTTCTGCCCTAACCTTTATTATCTTCTTTCTTTCTTTCCCTAGCTTTGGATTTAGTTTGCTCTTCCTTTCCTAGGTCTTTGTGGTATAAATTTAGCTTATTGATTTGAGATCTTATTTCTTAACATAGACATTTACAGCTACAAATTTCCCTCTTAGCACTGATTTCACTACATCTCCTAAGCTTTGCTATATTTTGTTTTTACTTGCCTTCATATCAAAGCGTTTTCTAATTTTTTGTGATTGCTCCTTTGACCCACTGGTTGTTTAAAAGTGTACTATTTAATGTCCATATATTTATGATTTTTTTTCTATTTTACTTGTTATTGATTTCTAACTTTACCCTGTTGTGATCAGAGAAAATGCTTTGCATAATGTCTATCTTTTAAATCTATTGAGACATTTTTTTGTGTGTGGCCTGACTAGTCTACCCTAGAGAATGTCCCAGGTACACTCAAGAATAATGTGTATTCTGACATTGTTAGTTGGAGTGCTCCATTTATGTCTATTAAGTCTACTTGGTTTATACTGTTGTTCAGATCATCTGTTTTCTTGCTTATCATCTGTCTGGTTGTTCTACCCATTGTTAAAAAGGTGTTATTGAAGTCTCTAGTTATTATTGTAAAACTGCCTATTTCTCCCTTCAGTTCTGTCAAGTTAGCTTCATATATTTTGAGGGTCTGTTTTTAAGTGTGTAAATGTTTATAATTTTTATATATTCATGCTCTATTGAAACTTTTATTGGTAAAGTCCTTCTTTGTCCCTCATAACTTTTTAAAGTCTTTTTTACCTGATATTAGTATTGACTCTCAGGTCTCTTTTTGTTGCATTTGCATAAAATAACTTTCTCCCATCATTTCACTTTTAACCTGTTTGTGCCTTTGAATATAAAGTAAGTCTCTTCTACATAGGATGTTGTTGGATCATGTTCACTTTTTCTTAATTCATTCAGCTAATGTCTGTGTTTTGACTGGATAAATTAATCCCTTTATACTTAACATAAATATTGATAAGGAGGAATTTACTTCTGCATTTTTTGCTATTTTTTCCATATGCATGATAGTATTTTTGTCCCTCATTTCCTCCATTACTGGGTGAATATTTTTTAAATCATAAATGGGTATTGGCTTTTGTCATTTTCATCTCATGCTTTTATCTTTACTGTATTATCTGTATATTATACAACTAGAGGGGAGTACAAACCCTGTTTGAGGCCCTTTAGAAACAATATTAAAATAAGTTACTCACACTAAGTAACTGTTCAATTGAATTCAGTGAATACAGATCTTTAATCTGCTAATAGCATAGTAATGTGCAAAGTACAACAGAGGATTCAAAAATAATAAAATATGTATCTTGATCTCGAGAAAAGGAAAGAGAAAATGAATTCTACATTTACAGGAAAAGTTCTCCGTGCCAGTTTCTGTGCTTAAAAGTATTATTTCATATGGTCGTTAGTCATAGCCACCTTCAAGTTAAGGAGAAAGTGAAGTTATTAATACAGGAAGCATAGATCAGATAGGAAAGCACAGGATCTTCGATTCAACTGCAGCGTTTAAATCCTTCGCAGGTAAACAGCTCTATGATACTGGTCTGGTTATTTAAAATCTCTGAACCTCAGTTTCCTCAATTGTAAAAGAAGGATAATAACTTCATAGGGATGTCATAACAATTCCTTGATGACTTTGGAAACTTGTCTAGCATTTAGTAATCACTGAGTTCTCATTAATGATGATGAAATTTAAAATCATAGCACTTAAGAGCTTGAATAAACAGAGAAACTGTAATTCATTCTTTCAAAACTCTTTTTAAATAAAGGAATAAAATAAAATTTGTATGAAACAAAAGTGTGAGGATTAGTAGAAATATAAAAATCTCTCCCAAAGTACAATTTATATTCACACAGATAGTCCTTCAATAGGGATGAAATATAGGTGTGAAAAACTAATTAGGAGAGTGGGAAATGACAGTGTCTTATGTAAGAGAATATGTAGATTCTCAATCTAGACTTGTTACCAACCAACTAGGCAAGCATAATTAATTCACTTAATCACTGAGTTCTGATCCACCTCATCAAATAGACTCTTTTGACTCCATGAATAACCTCAGAAAGATGTAATTCATGGAGTCAGAATAAAAAGCAGCAGGTTGTGCTGTAATAACAGCTTCCTAAAAATTATAATATCAACATGACAATTAATAGGAAGCATTGAAGATTGTATCAGATGCTGTCACTTAGCTGTTTAAAAAACTCCAATAGATTTCTCTTGTTTGTAAATGAAAGTCCAAATTTCCTAGCCTAGCATACCATCTAATATGGTACCATCTAATATCAGTAATATTTAACTGCTTACCAACTGCCATCACACCACAATATATTACAATCTTGTGTCTTTGTACCCGCTATTTTCACTGTTTCTTCTGCCTGGATTCCGACTCCTGTCTTATTTCATCTTACCTTCTCTGCCTGAGCAATTCCTATTCAGCTGTTAAGATACTAAGTATTTATTTATGTAATGGTATTTGCTAAATTGTATTACTATTATCTGTTTATATGTTGATGTACATATAATTGCAAGGGAATTATATGTACATCATATACACTTTAAGGGACCTTAAGGGAAAAACCTACATCTAATTGTCTTTGATCCCCAGGATGTAGTTCATCTAGGTGATCAATAAACCATTATAGATTAAGCATGCATATATTAATATTGACTAGATGATATAAAATATCTCAGAAGCTTTGTAATATTAAGTGTGGGAGGAATTTTTGAGGCAATCTTAATCAAATTCCTCTGTTCAACATTTGAAAAACTACAAGGTGATGACTTCTAAAATAATACCAATGAGTTGATGGTAAAGGCAGGTCTGGTAATTGTTTTCTGCCTTCTCATTTAGGTGTTATTTCCTATATACTGTCTTAAGTCAGAGATGAAAAGTAACTTGGAAAACAAAAAAAGTCATCAGCAATGATTCTGTCGTATTAATTACCCTCACCATTGGTTTTATAGGTTCTGTTTTTCTTGCCTTTGGATGTTACTCAAAATAGTGAACAACCTGCCCCAGAAGAAAATGCTCAATTACAATTTGTTCTTCAAGAAGAGTTTTCCAGTGATGATTCAACAACAAATGCACAGCCTGTTTTCTTTGGAGGCTATGCTTTCTTCAAGTTAAGACTCTCTAGAAGTCCTTTAGTCTCCCAACCAGATAATAAATATAGGAGATCTGTGACAGATGAACAAAAGCAAAGTGTCCTTTCAGCTCCTAAATTTTCAGAGGAAGAAATGCCCATTCAGCCAGACTCTACATTTAAACAAATGACAGATGAAGATCTACAATCTGCTATGGTACAACCCTCCCAAATGGAAACCCAGTTGATGGAGAACCAAGCTGTGTCACTCCAAGTGACATCCCATTCTGTACTAAAACTCCAAGATCTGTCACCTGAGGACTTACCATCCCAAGCTCTACCAGTACAAGGCCTGTCAGAACAATCTACACTAGCCAAGTCTACATCATCCGATGTCAAACAGTCTTATAATCTGACAGCTAATGACCTGTCCCCTCAAGGCATACTATCCCAAGATATGCTGCTTCATGACATGGCATCAAAAGACATGCAATCCCTATCTATATTATCTCAAGACACACTATCCCACAATGTGTCACCCCAAGACATACCTTCCCAAGACATGCTATCCCAAGCCGTATCAGAACAAGCCATATTACCTGAAGCCTCAACATCCCATATTGTGCAGGTCCCTAAAATACAACGCCTACTTCAGCAACCCCCAGATCTTCAACCAGAAAACATTCACCCTCAAAATCAGCAAAATTTACAAATGTCATATCAAGATATTAGATCAGAAGTTATGGAAGAAACCAAAGAATGGAAAGCTGAGGAGGAACTCCATAGAAGAAAATCCTCAAGACGGCATTCCTTAAACCAGCAAACCAAAGGCTTGCAATACATAAGGAGATATTCCTTATACATGCAAACCAAAGGCCAGCAATCCCCAAAGAGGCATTCCTTGGATCAGCAAAGCAAAGGCTGGCAATCTCCAAAGCGGAAATCCTTAGATCAGCAAATCAAAGACTGGCTATCCCCAAAGAGGCACTCCATAGATAAGCAAGCTCAGCTTAATCAAACCACAGAGCAACTCCCAGATCAGCAAGCTGAAGATCGGCAAGCCAAAGGGGAACAATACCCAGAAGGACAATCTAAAGATGAGCAAGTTAAAGACCAGCAGACTGATAAGGAGCAACATTCAAAGAAGCAAACCAAGGATCAGCAAGCTGAAGACCAGCAGGCCCAAGAGAAGAAATCCCCAAAAGGATGGTACCAAAGTGTTCAACCTGAAGGACAGCAAGCTCAAGTGGAGAAAATGCCAAAGCAGTTATGCCAAGATTCAGAATCTCAAATACAGCAATACCAATTCTGGCAATATCCACAAAAGCAATCTACAGACTGGACAACCCAAGACTGTCAATCCAATGACTGGAGAACTCAAGGCTGGAGAGACAAATATTACAAAGCACGAGAATGGCAATTTGCAATGCAGTCCTGGCAAACACAAGATCTGTTAGAGAAAGAAGCCCTAAAGCAGAAAGCTCTATACCAAGAAGTCCAAGCCCAGCACACCACAGCCCAACTTAACCTAGAATGGGAAGATGGTCAAGATAAAGACCAACACGACCTTCGATCCAGAGTTACACAGAAAGGAGACGTGTATACTAGAGACATCAAACCAGGGGACATAAAATGTATAGGGCAAACCTCAGGGGACCTACAGTCAGAAGACGTGAAGCCAGATTTCCATTCTTCTTCGGGCCAAAGCTCAGTACAAGACACATGTTTAGCCTATTTGTCCCATCTAGATTCGGAACAAGATGTGCAACCAAATACTTCAGCTTCCTCAAATTCATATAAAGAAGATGTGAATTTAACTTCTACTTCATGTGATCCAAAAGATCAACAGCAATCTGAAGACTCTGAATAACATGCAGAATCTACCCCCAAGTGCCACGCTGCCCCCAATAATGGAATTAAATTAGGAAAAACAATGTCCTCTCCTCCAACCTGTGTTCTCAACTGTGGTTGCTACCTAATTATCTTACCAAAAAATGAAGGGCATGCAGAGCACTCAAGGAATTTGTCCTTACTTAAAATAAAATGACAACAAACCAAATAATAACACCGTATCAGCACTTTATGTATGTGAAGAAATAATTCACATATAAACTCCTTGTCATCAAAGTTAGTGCTTTAATTTATAATTACGATTTTATTTTATAACTTAATATTTAATGGACCTACTTTGCTATGATGCTGTATTTTTTGTCTCCCCCTTTTTCCATTATAGGAGTCCAGAAAATCAACCACAGGGAAGTCTATGAATGCTCTTTAAAGGTTCATGAACCAAAAGAGTCAGCAAGGAACAAAAATTGCTTCCATTTCCCTGTCTTGCTATTTCCAATCCTCTCATTTACTCTCCCTCTTCATATCTATGTTGAGGGTATATGGACTGAGTTTGCTCAATTATTAATGAGATAGAATGTGGCAATGAATACAGAATGTGATGGATGGAGTGGGAGGGACTAAGAGATATCTAGAGATAGGGAAGTAGAAATTAGGGAAGAACAGAGATGCAGATGTTATAACAGAAAATATGACAGACTGTAGTGTATTGAGTGAAACCGTAGCTCTCTTCTCTATGCCTGCATTTACTAATTCTAATTTCTCAACCCTTATAATACATAATTTCATGCTCTGTAGTCAAAGGAAATTGTGTTATCAAAAGCTATCAGTTACCCTCAATCTTCCAAACCTAATCATTTTTTTCAATCCTATTTCCCTTTATCTGTTTGATACATTTGGAAAGCTTAACTATCCCTTTTTTTTTCCAATTTGTATCACCCCCCTTAACTACTGTGTTTTGCTCTTTCTGTTTCAAAAATTCTAGAGTCGATATTTCTAGGATCTCTCTCTGACTTCATTCATTTTTTTATAATTACAATGCACTATTAATAACCTTAAATTTCTGTGCAAAATTCCTTTTCTCATTAAAGATAACCCACAATCAGAAAAGATTGTAGGTTCCCATAAATAGTACACATGTGGAAAAATCCACACAATTTAAAAAAGTAATGTCCTAATTTATTAGAAACACCTTTGACTTTTAAAGCAGGAACTATCTAGCTGCAGTGTGGAGGATGAACCGGAGGAAGAAAGTTGGAGGCAGGGAGTTAATTAGGAAACTCTTGAAATAGTGAAGAAAGAGGTACTAAGTGTCTGATATAGGGATATATAGAAGAGTAAAGACTAAGAAGATAATTCAAGAGTAAAATTGTCCAGATGGAACAGGAACTAGAGGTGTAGAATTAAGGAAAATGAAGAATGAACCATCTATTCTAGCTTAAAAGATTAGGTGGCTGAGACATCATTACCATCAACAAAACAGAGGAAGAGGCACAGGTTGGAGCAAGAGTAAGGAGCATAGTTGGTTCCTCCTAGTGTAGTGTATTAGTCAGGGTTCTCCAGAGAAACAGAACCAAGAAGATTAGATAGACAGACAGATAGACAAATATAGATAGACAGACAGACAGACAGACAGACAGACAGACAGACAAATAGATAGACAGATAAAGAATTGGCTCACATGATTATAGGGCTGAGAAGTCCCGAGATCTGCAAGCTGGAGACCCAGGAGAGCTGATGGTATAGTTCCAGTCTGAGTCTGAAGACCTCAGAATCAAGAGTTTAAATTCCACTTCAAGTCTTAGTCTGAAGACAGGAGAAGACCAATGTCCCAGCTCAAAGACAGTCAGGCAGAGAAAGCGAATTTTCTCTTTCTCAGGCTTTTGTTCTGTTTAGGCCCTTGGCCTACCCATACTGGGGAGGGAAATCTGCTTTACTCAGCCTACCAACATAAATGTTAATTAACCTCATCCAGGCACATCCCATAGACACATTCAGAATGCACTTTAACCAAAAATCTGGGCACCTATGGTTCAATCAAGAATGATGCATACAATTAATCATCAAAGGTCCACCCCTTGTCAACCTGACACTCATATGCATCTCCTTAAGCCCTACTTAATCTTCAAATAAAGACTAAAAGTTATAATTCTTCATAATATGTTACAACTGTCATGCATACAACTGGAAATGTACCAACCTCTTCTCAGAAGAAGGGGTAAAGTCTGTGAGTGATGTTTACTCTTCTCCTTACTGTCTGGTAACTTTTATGATTTAAATTCTATGATGTCTCATAAATTCTATGATATAAAGTTAACAATACTTAATAGTATAATATAGACATGCCTTATGTTACAGGATTAGAGAGAGAACAGACGTGTGTACGTGTGTGTGTGTGTGTGTGTGTGTGTGTGTGTGTGTAGTTTCTATAAATGGTTATGTGGTCATAGCTGGTATTTATAACTACCTCCTTCTACTGCCCATTCTGTAGTCCTTGTCCCTTCAGCAAGCACTTTAGCTGGCCATGGTTCTTTACCTGGTACAGTGATACAAACCTTCATTCCTGAAAAGCCTGGACAATTAATGGTCCTGCCTGGATTGAGTTGTAGTTTTCTTAATTGACCTCAATCACAGGTCATGGTAATGCTAAGAGATGCATGAAGAGATCTCCTATATTCCAAACATACTCTTCCTTATCTCCATTGTGAAGTAGTGGTCTAATTTCCCCATAGTCATCAGAAACAATCACCCCATCCAGCATAGTAATCCCATTCAATTATCTGAAGAGGATGGAAGGGCTTTTCTCCAAAATTCAGCAATAAATCTATAGAAGCCGACCTTACCAGAGGCTCTACATAGCATCCCTAAATGCCATTGACACTTCAAGCACCATTGGATCTGTTGGATGGTATAGTCCAAGCAGAAGACAGCTTACACAGAAGCTTAAGCCTATTGTGAAGCCTTTTCTTCTGGTCCTACTCAAAAATAGCAGCTTTGTTAAGTCACTTGGCAAATTGGCCAGAGTAACACACCCAAGTGAGGAATATGTTGCCTCCCAAACCCAAAGAAACTCATTAGATTCTGTTCCTCTTTTTGGTTGTGGAAGCCAGCTGTGACAACTTAGCCTCATGCTGGCAGAGATTCTCGATATTCCCCACACCACTTGATCCCTATAAATTTCACTGAGTTACAAGACCCTGAGCTTTTGTCAGATTTATTTCTCACACTCTGGCATGTAAATATCTTATGAATAAATCTAGAGTAGTTACTATGTCTTATTTGCTAGGTCCAATCAGCACAATGTCATCAGTGTAATGGACCAGTGTGATATCTTGTGGAAGGAAAGGGCAATTAAGATCCCCGTTAACTAAATTATGACATCGAGCTGGAAAGCTGATATACCCCTGAGGTATGACAGTGAATATATGTTGTTGGCCTTGTCATGTAAAAGCAAGCTATTCCTGGTGGTCTTTACTAATAGCTATCCAGGAAAAGAATTTGTCAGATCAGTAACATTATACTAGGTACCAGAGGATGTGTCAATTTGCTCAAGCAATGAAACCATATTTGGTATGGCAGCTGCAACTGGAGTGCCACTGCAATTGGTAATCCACTGTCATCTTCCAAGATTCATCTATCTTCTGCACATGCCAAACATACGAGTGGAATAGGAATGTGGTGGGAATCAGCACCCCTGCATCTTTCAAGTTACTGATGGTGTCATTAATCTCTGTAACCCCTCCAATAAATGTGTTCGGGGTCACCAACCCTGCATCTTTTAAGTTACTGATGGATTTATCAATTTCTGCAGTTCCATCAGGAATGTGGTGTTGCTTTTGCTTTACTATTTTACTAGGCAGAGCCAGCACTAGAGCTTCCACTTGGTATTACTCACCATAATGGTCCTTACTCCACAGGGTAAGAAAATAATATGGAGATTCTACCACCTGCTGAGTATATTTATTTCAATTATGCCTTCTGGGATTGGGGGAATAACCACAGGATGGGTTGGGGAGACCACTGCATCCATTGTGAAATTAACCAGAGATAAAACTATGAATCATTAGACCTCCATAAGCACTTACTCTGAGTGGTGAGCCACAGTGATGTTTTGGGTCTCCTGGAATTACTTCAGAGTCAGTATCTAGTAGTCCCTGAGATGTCCGGTTATTTCCTTTTCCCCAATGCTCAGTATCCTGGAAGAAGGCTGCAGGTCCCTTTGAGGAAGGCTGTGAGCAAGATTAACAGTACAAATTATTGGTAATGCACCAGGTCCTTCTTCAAGGAGACCTGGTCTCCCCTTTCATTCAAGGAGTTCTTTCTGGGTCTGTAAATTTCATTCCCGGTCTGCAAACCAGCTCAGGTCTGGGAATTGATGGAGGAGCTCTGAGTCTCTATTTTTATGATTCAGGTTAGGCTTTCATTCACATGACCTAGAATATTTCTGCTTATATAAATCAAAGAATAATTTAATAGGATTTCTATCTATTTTATCTCTAGGAACACCATGATCAACTAGCCCATACCATAGGTCTGATTCAAATAATCTTATCCATATACACCCTTGCAGACACAGGCAAAATAATGTTTAAATTAAATATTTGGGAAGCCTATGACCTGGTTAAGTTGACTCATAAAGTTAACCACTGTGTCTCATTTATACTCACTGTCTTGGGGCCACAATCTGGAATGAGTCTTAGTTGAAATCACCTGCATAGATCAGAGGAGTTGCTGGGATGCATATATACCAAGCAAGTCCTCACTGAGACATATCATTAGCAGGAACAAAAATGTATTATTTTAAAATGTGGATAAAGAGATCTTCTCTGGAAAATCATCATCTATATTTATGTAACCTCTCACTTGTGGTTATAACGCCTAGAAAGGCATGTAGATCCATCACATTTCTAAAAGGCTAATCTTACTGTTAGTGAACCACACAGACACAAAGAGTCCTTAGGAAAGTGCAGATCTCCTTTCAGCCATAATATCCTCCATCAATTCACAAGGTACTCTTTGGATTGGGAGATTCATATTTCTCACTCTACTTTCCCCACTAGCACATATACCCTTTTTTCCCCAGTGATCCTTGTGATTTTTTTTTTCCTCCCCTACCTACCCTAGGATTCAAATATGAAGTTTCTGGTCAGAGGCTTAAGTTTTTATGAATCACTGGAGAAAGCCTTAGGTCTCAAGACAATGCTCTGAAGCATCAAACTGAGTTCATGGAATCTAAATCTAAACCAACTGGATCATAATTTTGACCCAGCACCATTTACTAGCTGGGAATATACTTTGGGAATGTTTCTTAAAATCTCTGTACCTAAGTTTTCCCATCTATAAAATATGAATAGGAGTAGTACTCAGCACAGGGTTGTCAAGATTAAATAATTAATGCATGTTTAGTGTTTAAAATATCTGGCACAGGAA